CAGGATTGTGGCAAGGTTAAAAGATGCGGGGTGCCAACCTGCCACCATGCTGGGCTGGATTAGCAACCCAGAGGGAATATGCAAATAATCAGCTGGGAGGTGGGAGAAACAGGAGGAGGCAGAAATGTGAGGCTCGTTTTACTGTGTACAGATGGTTACTTAGCGCATCTCATCATGGAGACAGGTGCTTCCAAAGTCATCTGTGCAAGTGCCCTGCCTTGAACTACAGCAGTTAAAGAAAGATGAACAATCTAGGTTACTACCTCCTAATAACTTGCTCGCGATTCTGGATTTGAGTTGGGATGTCTCCTAGAACCCTATAGTCAGAATACAGTCCTGCTTAGGTTCTCTTAAGCCTGACTTAGTGACCTGTTTTTCCTCCATTTCTAGAACCAGACCAGGAGGAAGAGAGGCTAGGGGTTTCAATTTCACGACAGTTCGAAGTGCCTGGAGTACCACAAAACCTCTTCCAGCTCGCCAGAAAGGGTTCTCTCCAAGTCCTAATCGTGACACCATGTATGCTTTGTTCCATACACAGTTTATCAAGTTTGTTTAATAATCTATTGATAATAAAAAGTTCTAGTGTTATTAATGCCTGTAATTACATATTTTGCTGATTGCTATATTTTCATCTCTTTGGAAGCTAAGTATCCACTAGTTCATAATCTTTTCTAGTTTTTCACTTAGTCTCTCATTAGTTTCCCCAAAGTTGCTTTTCTGCTTTTAATCCTGACTTAATTCTTCCCACACTCAGGTTAAAAAGGATGTTATTTGAACTCCATTTTTTAGAATTTCTCTATTGACAAGTTTACCTTTTCCTTTGGATCGCTCCATGGCTGAGCCTGAAGACCATACTCATTGCGGCAAATGGTTAAAGTGGGGGATACAGGCACCGTCCTGCTCTCCCCCGAAGGGTGATCCGACAGGAGGGGTGTCTTTTTTTTTTCTCTCTTTTGTACTGCTTACCTGGAAGAAGGTTCAGAAAACAGGACTTGTCACTAGGAATTGCAAAGCTAAAAGAATGTGGCTCTGGGGCAGATGCAGAAGTTTCAACACTGGAAGTGGGGGGGGATGAAAGCCTACAAGTGAGCTTGGAAGAAAACTTAGTAATTTTCAGTCTAAGAAACCTAACTCACATGAATAGTTTCTCCTCGAGTATGGCCCTTTCCAGTCAGATCTGCTGGTGCTATCGAGCTGGTATTTCAAGTATGTCCATCTGCATTTAAACGAATTGCTCCAAGACAATCTGATTATGCGGTAGTTACTTTGGTGAGAATAGCGCCTCAGTGGAATGGAAACTTCATTTTGAGTCTAATATTAGACCTTGCTTTGGAAAATTCCTTTTAAATGATCACAAGCTGGGAATAGCAAAAGAATTTAACTTTCGACAGACAGCATTCACCAAGAATTTTTAACTGCTTATGTTTGGGTCCTTGGGAAAGCAGATGTGAGAAAGTGACCGGCCTGAATGGACCAGGGTAGCAGTGACGTGACCTGATGGGTGTTTATATCTATTGCTGATAAGTTTCCCTCCTTGTCTCATTTGCTCAAAATATTTTCATTCTTTGAGCATGAGCACGCTAAGGATGAAAATTGTTAGGATGCCTAATTGTCTAACAATCTAAGCTTCTAGGCTTCCTTGATGCCTGTAAAGGGGTCTGAGGCAGAGCAGAAAAGGGCCAACAAACCTACAAAACCAAAGCCAGTTTCTGAGTAAGTGCTGGGAACTTGATCAGACCTGGCCCCCAGAGAATATTTTTAGTTTGTCTAGCTGGTTGTGTCTGGGTGAACTCACCCAATTTGAAGATTTAAGTAAACTTTATTTAAAGGACTCCCCCCCCCCAAGAATCCCCACCCTGTCATTAAAAAAAGTAATATACATGTTAATGGAGCATGAAATTTTCAGATCATGTCTTCTTGGCTTAACTCAAGGACCTGTTTCAGATGCCTCACATGCCTTGGATTAGGAAAACCAATATTGGTATTTGAGAGATGCATTATTATCTTAAAAGATTTTTCTGAAAGGGAAATGCATCTTTTAATCATGGTGTGCTTTTAATATAGTGGGTTTTCTTGTCTCCAAATAAGCTGGTAGTAAGTTGATGGTGTCTTAGAACTGAGGAAGAATGTTAAAGAGAGAGGAAGAGTTAACCATTTATTGATTGCTCAGGGGCTCCCAGCCACTGCCCTTGCCGGATCCCCGACACTGTCTCTGATATTCACAGCAATTGTATGTGGCAGCAGTTATCATCAGCCTGGTTTTAAGAGACCGGGGCTCAGGAAAGTTCTGTCATTTGCTCGTGATCACACAGCTAGTAATTGCGAGGAAGCGGCCGTGCTTGGGTTCCAATCCAGGACTGTTCAGCTTCGGGGCACCTGCTCTTCCCTTGCCCTTCTGGCTGTCTTCTGTAGCCACTGTTCTTAAACTTTCTTGTCTTTGGATCTCTTTAAGCTCTTAAAAATTGCTGAGGACCCTTGAACTTCTGTTTATGTGGGTTCTATCTCTTGATATTTACTGTATTTGAAATTAAAATGGAGTAATATAAAACACCTGGGCCTCTTAATTCATTTTTGAAGGATAATAATAGGTCCACTACATTAACGTTAAATAATATTTTTATTAAAAACCACTTTTCCAAAACAAAAATAAGTCAATTGTGTTACCTTTTTGCATCTTTATTACCTAGTTGGATTCTCCTATCATCTTCTGCATTCGGTCTGTGCAGTATATGTTTTAGTTGAGATAGATGAAGAAAATCTGGGTTCCCATAGGTACGTATTTGGAAAGAGGAGGGATATTTTAACAGCCGCCTTGGGCAATTGGGAATATCCTCCTTTGATACTATACCAAAACTCCACAAGTGGTAGTTTTTTAAAGGTTAGTTGCTATGTAGAATCTGAAACTACCAGTGGACTTTGGGTGCACTGTTAAATTGAAATCCTTTGGTCTGCAATCTTCCTTACAGGAAAGTTCTGCGTAATATATGTAGGTACTCCCCCAGTCCGGGAAGAAGAGCTTCATTTTTACCCCTCACCCCTCCCCGAGGGTGGGCTGGTCTTCATGACCTGCTTCCAAAGGATAGAATGAGGGAAAGAAGAAAAATGAGTAACTTGACAGTGGAGAAACTCGAGAATGTCACATGGCTGTCGTGTAAGCCCTGATATGATGTAACTAGAAAACCCAGAACCCCAGTCTAATCACGAGAAAACATCAGACAAACCCAAATCAAAGGACATTCTACAGGATTCCTGACCAGTACTCCTTGATTGTCAAGGTCATAAAAAAACAAGCAAAGACTAAGAGACTGTCAGAACCCAGAGGAGACATGACACCTCAATGCAGTGTGGTACTCTGGATTGGATACTGGAACAGAAAGAGGGCATTAATAGAAAAAACTGGTGAAATCCCAAATAAGTCTGGAATTTACTGTATCAATTGTCAGTTTCTTAGTTTTACAAATATGGTGTGGTAATGCATGATGTGAACAATGGGGGCAACTGAGGAAAGGCTCCACAGGAATTCTGTACTGTCTTTACAGCTTTTTTGTAAATCTAAAATTATTCCAAAATAAAAAGTTCAAGAAATCCATCATTACAACCAAGCAACAGACTCTAACTATAGAGAACAAACTGATGGTGACCAGAGGGGAGGTGGGCAGGAAGATGGGGGAAATAGGTGACGGGGATTAAGGAGAGCACTTGTGGTGATGTGCACCCAGTGTTGTATGGAGTTGTTGAATCGCTAAATTGTACACCTGACACTAATATTACACGGTGTGTTAACTAACTGGAATTTAAATAAAAACTTCTTTTAAAAAATATAAAAATAGGGTATGAGAGGAAAAAAGAATCTGTTATGTCTTGTACTCTGAATAGATTGTTTACCTGTGCATGATTTGGTAACCTCATCATTACCATGGTCATTTGGAAAATACTGGTTCACTGAGTTACGTAGATCGTTGAAATGTTGACCCATTTCATTATTCAGTATAAAATTCACACTTGTTCTCTCATCAGAAAACTCTTTGTCAAGAAGTTCTCAGGCCTGTGGTGGATACAAGTTTCCCCAAATTCCGATTTTCCCGTGAAAGCTTAAATTTTATCATTAGCAAATACTGCTGTTGTTTTCCTTAACGTTGCAGGCTCATTTTGTCCATTTTCAAGGAAATATTTGCCAGATATCCAAGTCTAAATACCATCAGTTTGGTACCTATCCTTCAGGTAAAAATGACATCCAGTGAGAAACGTGGCTAGTGCAACCTGCAGTTCAAACAGTTGTGCAAGTGCATTTCCTCAAGACAACTATTGTACCTCGGCACGCGACAGACATGTTTTAGGGTGGGTCTCCTTTTGCCACATAGAGTATTAAAGGCCAAGTACTCAATCAAGGTCAGGATTTAATGAAATTAATTTTTACATCTTCACCAGGGGCATTCTGAAGAGAAATGGACTTTCCCCCCCTTTCCTGTGCATGTGTGGTGGCGGAGAATACGGTCTGCTCCCACTGCCTCGCTTTGTGCTCGGGCGCCTTTGCCTGATCGGCTCAAATACCAGCACCGTGCAAGAGGCTGGGAACATCTTAGTGTTCCACTGGAAAATAGTCTGACCTCGCTGCCCTCCTGAGAGGGTCTTGGGCATCCCTAAGGGTCCACGGACCACACTTGGAGAACTGTTCTCCTGAAGTAAAGTAGCAGTTGCTATAAGGTCACAAAGGAAGGGCTGACATGATTGAAGACCAAACCCATGAGGAAGCAAATGGTCATGTGTGCAGGCCAACGTGTATAGAAGCCGAGGCTCTTCTGGCTCAATCATCTTGCTTTCAATGGCTCGGGAAACTTTTCCATTTGCCTGTGGTTATTTCGCACCATGTTTAAACGCCGAAATGCAGACTTGGATCATCTGGTATCTGTTCGCTGCTATTTTTAACGTAATCCTGTACAAGACTTCCTTCAGGAAATTCAGAAAATTCCTTCCTAAACTTTGATTTCTTTTCTTTAAAGGTAAATCTCACCTGGCTATCGTGCAGCGAGTGAACAATGAGGGAGAAGGGGACCCATTTTATGAAGTTCTGGGAATCGTCACATTAGAAGACGTGATTGAGGAAATCATCAAATCTGAGATTCTAGATGAAACAGATTTATACAGTGAGTATTCTGAGTGTGATTTTTCAGAACCTTGGCTGTTTTCTGTCATCTCGCTCATGAGTCCTCTCACGTCTCCAGGGCTTACTTGCCTCTGTCCCTAATTACCTGCTGTGTGCGTGGGCTGTGGACCACTTAACCGAGTGTTCCAGACCCTTCATCAGAGGGGGGAAGAAGAGGCAGGTCCTGTGATGTTGAGTGGCAGTGTTCTGTTTTTGTTTTTGCTTTTTTATTTTTTTATTTTTATTTTTTTTTAAAGATTTATTTATTTGAGAGAGAGAGAATGAGAGAGAACTCATGAGAGGGGATAGGGTCAGAGGACGAAGCAGACTCCCTGCCAAGCAGGGAGCCCGATGCGGGACTCGATCCAGGGACTCCAGGATCATGACCTGAGCCGAAGGCAGTCGCTTAACCAACTGAGCCACCCAGGCGCCCTGTTTTTGCTTTTTTAAAAGCCAGCTTCTTCTAACCATGGATCAGGGCATTACTTGCCCTGAACAGAAAACTCCCTTTGTGGTTTTTACGTTAATTCTACGTGTGGAAAAAGAATCGTTCTTTACTACATTTTTATTTCCCACAACTAAGGCAATCGTATTCAGATAAATTTCTTTTTCTACATAAGGCCCTAATTCAAGTACTTGTGAGGAGGATTTGTTAGATTGATGGATTGCAGCTGTTTAAATGTCCTTGTTCCAGAACCCACGGGCCAGGGTGGGGGTGAGGTTTGTGAGTGTAGGTTTGCTGTGGGGCAGTGGCAGGGAGGGGGAGGGATAGGAAGCAGGACAGGGTAGGGTACACAATAAGAATGTGTTTTACCCTTTCTCTGCTATTCTGTTTTCTTTTGGGGGCAGGGGAAAGGGATGAAGCGGGTAGGAGTCACTTGGCTTGGGGCGGAGGGAGGGGAGGCTTCACTGGTGTTTGTGCGCGGGGTAAACTTGATCCTGCGCTGAGTATTGAACCTGAATCCTGTCTCATTGACGTCCACAACTGGATTGTTGGACTGTGGAGTTTAAACCTTTTTCTTCAGCCTCATTCTTAGTAAAGCAGGACCCTTTCAAGAGATTAATAATGGGAAAGGTGCATTTTTCCCTGAAGATGTTTGGGACTCTCAGAGGTGGGACAGAGAAGAGTACCTGGGCTCTGTTTATTCTGTTTGGCTTTTAAGACATGACTTAGAAGGGAAATGGATTGTTCAAATGGCCTGGGGCGCCTGGGACAAGGCCTGCCTTGCTTCAAATAGAGTGATTTTTATTCAGTCCGCTAGATGGGAATGTTCCTCATTTTAAAAATGAGAGTCTTCCATGTACCCTTAGAAGGATAAACTTGATATTTAGGTAGTGACTTGCTTCTAAAAATGTACCTTACTTTATCCTCACATATATTAGTACGTTCTTTAAAATCATCAGTTCCTATTGTGTTCTATCCTCTTGAAACTTGGAGAGTAGTCAGAGGTCACATAATAAAGAATATTGTTATTTGTGTGTTGACATTCTTTTCATCCTTCCTTACAGTGACTTTAATACCAAGTGTGTCTTTTTATATTTTTTCGTTTCCTCAGGGGTAGTACTCATCATAAGAAGGATCATTAAGACATTTAGGAGATGTTATGTTTGCTTTTCAGTTAATGTCTTTTAAGCCTCGATTAGACTAATTGCACACAGAACTGTTGCCTATCATGCCTTACTAGATGGAATGCTGAATGCAAGATTTTAGGTATATTCTGAGGTCGACAGGTGATCAGGGCTGATGACTACATTTGCCATTAGAAAATTATTTTGAAATTCGGTGTTCATTTATGCTGTCTGATTCTGAAAAGAATTTGAGACAGAAGAAAATGATAAGTTACAATTGCCCTCTCCCTCTCCCCAGGACAAGCGTGGTAATTAGTCTGTTTGGCCGTAGGCATGAAATGGTAATAATGCACGGACTCATGATTCTCGGGAAAGGAGTGAGCAATTGAGGTCTTGTCTTTAACCAAGTTTTTTCTTGATCATCTCTTTGTCGAGAAAAATACTGGAAAAAAGGTTTTGTGTTAGACACCTTCTAGATCAGGGGTTTGCAAACTAGAGCCCATAGCTGCCACCAGTGTTTGGATAGCCCACCAGCTGAGAATTTTTGTTTGCTTTTACATTTGGTAATTGTTGAAAAACATCAGAAGAATAATTACTTAGTGACATGTGAAAATAATATGAAATTCAAATTCCATATCCATAATAAAGTTTTATTGGCATACAGCCACGTTGATTCATTTACATATGGTTGCTTTTGCTCAACAGCAGGGTTGAGCAGTTACAACAGACATTGTATGGCCTCCAGAGCCTGAACTACTACCTAGCCCTTGACAAAGGAAGAATGCCGACCTCTCCTCTGGATGACCTTCTTCATATTTGCTTGACCTTGAGGATCTCAGGGTCTGGGCTAGAAACGAAGCTAACAGATATTGTTAAAATGTTCTATGAAAGCATTCTTTCTTGTTTCTGAAGAGGTTTTGTGTGAGTGTTTGTTTTCCCTGTTTCGGCAGAGGCTAGGAGCCTCTGAAAGGCAGGGCACACTTCCCTGTGTCCTCTGTCACCCAGCGATCACTCTTCCCCGCAGCATGGTGACATTGGGTAGCAGGAGACGGTGTGCGCTCCGAGCTGCGTCCCGTTGCTTTGGGGTTACACGGCTTGTGTGAGGGTTTCATCCCCGCTGCCCAGTCGTGTACTTACAAGGGCTCTAAAGACCTTCGTGGAGCATGTTTATCGTTGATACTGGTTGCCTGACTTTGAATTGGGTCATGACTGTGCTGCAGTGATTTGACGAGGATTCTCTCTCCTCCCCTGTCCGGGGGGCGTTGGTGCGCAGAGTGCCCGCGGTCTGGAGGTAGTCTAGCCTTTGCAGCGGATTTCGTCCCTTTCATTCAGAAAGAGCCCTGATCTAATCGAGTGCATTTCCTTTTATCTTTCCTTGTTCTTCTGTCAGCTGATAACAGAACGAAAAAGAAAGTGGCCCATCGGGAAAGAAAGCAAGACTTTTCTGCCTTTAAACAGACAGACAGCGAGATGAAGGTGAAAATATCACCCCAGCTTCTCCTGGCCATGCACCGTTTCCTAGCAACAGGCAAGTGCCGCTTATCGCAGTTTGAGATCTCTACGAACCCTGGACCGTGTTTCTCACCCACCACTGCCTGGGGTGGGCTGGGGGTGGAGACCGGGAAATGGGGTGATAAGTAATGCCACTTTTGTGTTTTGTTTTCTGTTTTTTTTTTTGTTTTGTTTTGTTTTGTTTTTTTCTTTTTAAATTCTCTCCTCTCCTGTGTTCAGTGTCGGCATGAACCCTCTGAGACATTTACCAGGGGTGGACCAGTAACTTAAAATTGGTCTGAAAGGTAAGGATGAATGTTAGTGCCACACTGCATGTGAACCGTAGGCCAGGTCATCTGCTTCCAGCTCAGTCCGGGGGAGAGCCCGCTGGTGGCGTGGGCTGGCAGTGCAGATCAGACACCCCCTGGCTGTGTGTCGGTCAGTTGAGTAATTCTCTCTCCAGCTTGCCTTGGAAGAACAGTTGGACATCAGTGGTAACCTGGGTGCTATGATTTGCAAAGAAGAAAAATAGATTTTTTCAGAATTAAATCTATCTTTGATGATGTCGATGAAATCAGAAATTCTAAGCGCTTTGACATGGATTTCTCGATGGCCTCTTCAAGTCCGATTAACTTGGGCCCATTCCAGGAGGCAAGCGTTCACATTAATTAAAACCACCAATCCAGCCGGCACTGACTGCTCCAGAAAGGTCAAGGTTGAATGGACTTAAGAGACTGACTAACCCTTCTCACATCCCCAAGTGGCTCTCTAGGTGAAGGGTGAGCTCTGTTGGCCAGGGGAAACCTGAGAAAATCGGAAAGTACCCAGTGGCCTGTAGAAGACGTCTGTGTCCACGATGGGCATCCAGGGCCCTTCAGCTGCATGCAGCATACTTAAAATATTTCAAAAAGAAGGCTAACAGTAGCCATGCGATGGAATATTATGTGCTCTTTAAGACCTAGAAATGCTCACAATATAATACTTTTGACATGGGAAGATACTCATAATTTAATGTGAGGTGAGAAAAAAACACAAAGCTGTAAGACCACTGTTTTCGTGCGCGCGCGCACACACATCCACACACACACACACGTCCACACAGGCACACGTGCTCACCAGCCGCTCAGAGGGACGGACTGGTGGGTTCATAGGTAACTTTCTTTTCCTCTTTATCTTCTTCCGTGTTTTCCAAAACTTCTACAGTATACTACCTTATTTTGTTATTATCAAAGCTAATACAGAAGCTAGTATAGAACTTATGGTTCACCTCATGAAAACAATTTTTTAAACATATAAACAGTATCTTTAACTTATTTTTCTGAATCTGGTAATACTGTTCATCATTTCAGAGCCATACTTTAACATTAAATGTTCTCCGACTCTACCTCTGAGGTACCGTGAAGTCCACTTTCAGTAGGAGCGACCCTAAGCCAGTAATTCTGAGTTTTGTTATTGGAAATAAAATGGATTCCTTTGTCAATACAGATACGCATTTTTAAATTTTTTTAGTTAGCAAGTTGGAGTGCATGTCGCTGTGTGCACGTGCCTTGCTTCCCTTCTGAATCTCCGCCTTCCTTTGTTCCCAGACTCTCTCAGGTAGTGGAGTGGGAGAATGAGCACTTCGTCTGGGCACCTGGTACTAACCCACACCTAGATGCTTCCTGACCTTTGCTTCTTCCTTTGGCTGTTGTGGAACAGTCAGACTATTGTGGCCTGTCGAAGGGTGTCCTGGCAGTCAGGAGCCTCCTTCTGGTTGACTGTGATTTGTATCAGAAAATTAGAGTAATTTTATAAGAACTGAAACCAATGACAGGCTGAAAAGGAAGCATTTAAACAAATACGAGACTTCGGCATTTTCTAATTTCTCCCAGGTAATCTGCCCCCAGTGGATCACCAAACGGAAGTGTCGTTACTCCATACTGTGTTGCTTTTATTCCGAGTATTCTTATATTCTAAACTCCTTAATCACTAGTATAATTTTTTTCCATCCATTTGAAGTGTAATATCAAGTTGTGTTTATATCTATAGAAGTAGAAGCATTTAGCCCATCCCAGATGTCAGAGAAGATCCTTCTAAGGCTGCTAAAGCACCCCAATGTCATCCAGGAACTGAAGTATGATGAGAAGAACAAGAAAGCCCCAGAATACTACCTCTACCAGCGAAACAAACCTGTAGACTACTTCGTTCTCATTTTGCAGGTCAGAAGAATTATTCAATAGTTGTTTGATCTCACTGAGTACCCATCATTCCAGTTCTGAGGCGACTTTTCTGTAGGTGAATGGGTGTGTCAAGGTTCACATACTTAACTTCCGGGGTTGCCTGATACACGGGAGGATTTCATCCCCCTGTTTTCCTCTCTCTAAAATAATTTCAGTATAAAGCAATGTCATTAGTTACTTCAGTTTCCAATACTGAGGGCACTTACTGATTGCTGAGGCATGGTGGCATTCATTTGAAGAATGGTGAATTCAGTTCATATTTTTGGAAGAGTTTGGAGAATTACCTATACACGTCCAAATCTTGGTTGGGCATTTGAAATTTAAGTGTCGTGAGTTCCTGGGGTCCTCTTTTTATCGTCTTCTCTTTTTTCCACTCTTCGTTAGGACTTGGTCGTCTACAACTTCCTAGAGGTAACTTACTATCTCTTCCCTTAACAACATCAAATTAATACATTTATTATTTTTATTCCTGGTTACTAACCAGACTGTTCTACAGAGGAACTAATGTAATCATCACAGCCTCTCCTGGCAATGGAAACTTCGTTCCTTCTCACTAATAACATAATCCACTGTATGAGGTGAGAAGGTCCATCCATTCTGGACCCTCCTTGAGGGGCTTTCGTGCTGGAGTTGATAGGAGGCCCTTATTATATCACAGTTTCATTTGATAGAACACTGTCCTTGACATGGAGACCAAGATGAACAGTACAATGAATGAAGTGCTGGTTTTACTGACTGCTTGTACCTCCTTACTGAAGAATTTTACAGGAAGTCTGAGTTTATCCAGTACAAGAATCCTAGCTCCTTAAGCATTCTCCTACTTTTTGGTGATTTCCTAGGTATGAATGGGAGGGATCATTAGAAAAGTATAATGAGTACTCAGTAGGTCCTGCAATTTACATGAGTCCAGCAAGGTCCCAATTATCAAAAGGATAATTAAGGAAGTTCTTTTTATTTGAAAGCAACTCTTATCAGATGTCTGGATGAGGGAAACTCTGCAGTGTTGTGCTCATGTCCCTGTTTGGGTGCTGTTGTGATGTCTGGAGGCAGAAGAAACTGTAGAAAAATCTGTGCGGTAACTAGTCACATACCACTTTCATACATTCTTTCGTGGAAACATCTCTTTGCAGGTTTTCTAATTCAATATGCTGATTCTTCTATTAGCCTTAGTCTCATTCAACGCTGAACTGTTTTTCTTTTTCTCTGGAGATAGACACACCTGCACCTCTGAGGGGGCTGTAGGGAGTTTATGTACTGCAGCGAGGGAATAAGACATGTGTGCTTCTAAAAGCTGGATGCGAATATTCCTTAAACCTAGAGAAACTTTGAATTACGCTAAATTTTGGATTACACTTTGTTTAAAGGAGGACTTTGAGGACGGACATGGTGAATTTCAGGAGTCATATTAGAAACTATGTATGTTTCAGTTGTCGATTTTTATGTAGTTAGTCTGTATGAAGCTGTGATTCAGGAATGCTCTGTGGGGGAATAACAAAGCCATTTCCTGGTTGAAAGATCTAAAAATAGATTTTATGGAAGAGGGACTTCATACTCCATACTCCCCGTTCATTTACAATTAAATCTTTAAAGATAGTTTGGGTAAGGCGTTTGTGTGTTACCTGTATTTGAATACCTACCTCATGTTAAGTATTTATATAAATGTGACCTTTTTTTTTTTTTTTTTTTAAATTGTGGAACTGATGATATCATGGGGGTTTTTGTAAATAGTGTATGTGCTGGATTAAGAGGATTTATGGAGGGGTTTAAACTATGGAGTTCAGGGAAAATTAGGTTCTTGTCGGCAAGCCAATTACCTGAGTGAGGTACCCGGAGTATAAGAAAATGAAATACCATGACCCCTGTTAATCTAGCACAGCTGTCACCTTTTACAAAATATATTCCACTCTGAAATGTCCCTAGCCCAACTTTGGAAACTGGTGCCAGGTTATTGGGCATGTTCCTCTGCATGCTAGAGCATTAAATCAGAAGCAAGCTTCAGTATCTGCCTTCCGTTCCTGGCCCCGGAGCCAGTGAGCTGCCCTCCATCTGCAGACACTAGAAAAAACTCTTCTATTAAGTCATTGATGTTTGGAATGTAATTATAAATAGAAACCCATCGCTCTGAGTTTAAATGAAGTAAAGTCTAATTTATTCAAAGCAGTGAACCATTTAAGCTTAAAAGAATTATTCTGTAAGTTACTGGGCACATACCTCCCACTCCTTAAGTATAAAAAGGCTACGACCTAAAGTTTTATCTGAAAAAGTAGATTTTTTTAAACTAAGATGTATTGGGGGAGAATCAATAAGGACAGTGATAAAAGCACAATAAACACTGAAAGAAAAGTTTATTGGCTCGACATGTCTGAAATAACAAAACACATACATCCTGCTTTTTACTGAGTTGTTTTCAAATAAAAAGGACCTCCTTAATTATCCTTTTGATAATTGGGACCTTGCTGGACTCATGTAAATTGTAGGACCTACCGAGTACTCATGGATGTGTGTATCCATGGAAATGGATAGGAATATAATTTTGGTGGAAAATAATTTCCACCATCATAAAAGAGTAAGCATACCAAGAAAAAAGTGTTTTAACTTGACTAATACAATTAACAGGAATTTGGAGAAAATTAAATATAAAGCCAGGAAAATACACTTTTTAAAAAGTTTTATGTACTTTGATAAAGTTGATGATTTGCTATATCATATATAAAGTTCTACTAAACTCAGAAAGGTAGAAATTTCTAGAACCACCTGTATAGATCATAATGAAATAAAATTGGACCTAAAAATACATAATTGAAGAGTACTAAGCCATTTTTAAATGGTGACCAATTCTCTTACAAAGGCTTATACGTAAGGCTCAGAACAGGGCATTATAATGTATTCCCATGTGTTTCATGTGCATCTGTATATACATGAATCTCTCTGAAGGTTACTCAAGAGTCTAGTCACAGGTGGTTGCCTCTAAGGAGGGAGACTTGGAGGACTGGGAATAGGGTAGAAGGGAGACTTCTCCCTTTGAATTTGAATTTCTTATCAGGTGCACGTATTACCTATTTAAAGAAATGTTGAAAATATAATTAACATCAAGCTGATAAGCCCTAAGTAGCAACTGAATTAGAGTGAAAATATATAGAATATCATAAAATACAGAAAACATCATGAAAGACATTATTAAATAATACCTTATATGCTGTATGTCAAAGTTTTAAGAAATTTTATTCTGAGTACTAAAATAAGGAAAAAAAATCTGTAATTATCTAGAAAAAGAACACAGCAACAAACCGAAAAGAACAAATTAAATAATAAAGATAGTCATGAAAGAAATGTTAATGAGAAAGCCTTAAAGCCCATAAATAAAATCAAGATTTGGTTCTTTTAAAAGATTAGCAAAATCAGTTTTCTACTGATGTAATCCATGTGATAAAAGAGAAAAACAACAAAACAAGAAGTTCTCTCTTGTCCTTTAAAACAGCTAGATTCAAAGAAATCACTTGGAAAAAAATTGAAACTTGGAGGAGCTCATTTTCTGTATAGTACAAATGGGCCAAGATGGTATGATCGTCAGATTTCCTAACTAAAAAGGTAGCAGTTAGAGAACAGCAATGTCCCCGAAGAGTTAATCACTGTGACTGACTAAATTAGGTTTTTTTTAGGAATGCAGGACTAGTTTAAGAACAACAAAACCAAAATATGCCATGTTAATTAGGAAAGGGGTGAAGAAAAAAAAAAAATCCTAATGCTCCTATCAATAGATATCAGAAAGGCAACTGACAAAATTAAGCATCCATTTTTTTATTTTAGAAAACAAACAAAAAAAATCTTTGTAAAAATCCATGGTGAATAGTGAACAAAAAAGAAAAAGTGCTGGTGGGGCACCTGGATGGCTCAGTCGTTAAGCTTCTGCCTTCCGCTCAGGTCATGATCTCAGGGTCCTGGGATCGAGCCCCGCATCAGGCTCCCTGCTCAGCGGGAAGCCTGCTTCTCCCTCTCCCGCTCCCCCTGCTTGTGTTCCCTCTCTCGCTGTGTCTCTCTCTGTCAAATAAATAAAATCTTAAAGAAAGAAAAGAAAAAGTGCTGCAAAATCAGTCATATCCTTAAACTGACAGCCTCCTTTTTGGAATACATACATACAATCCCTCATACACATGCATCTAAAGAAATTATTTGCTGAAGTTATCTATGCAAACATATTTATAGCAAATTTGTTAATTATAAAGTAGTAGTAGTTCGTATGTCTCAACCACTTATATTAATCACATGATGAGACCATCATTTAGTCATGAAAGAAGTGGAAAGCACATAGAAAAATATCAAGAGTGTGTGTACAATAATTATAACTACTATAAACCGTTTTTCTAATTCACAGAGTTGGTATTTTACAGTGAAGGATTTGTTGGTCCTTTGGGGAGTAAGATAAAGCAAAAAATACATATATATTTTTTTGGAATTATATATATATGTATCATATATATATATAATTGCTCCTTCACATCACATAACCAGATTGATTTTTTTGAAAAAATACGAAATATAAAGAATACTAGGAAAACAAATAACTCTTTTCTTTGCCAATTACAGAATCAATAAGAGGAACACTTTTTTTTTTTTCTGGTGTTAATTTTTCTGCTTGATTTCATGCCTCAGATTTTTGTTGTTGTTCAGCTGTCCCACTCACGTCTCTCTTCAGGGCCTCTGACAGGGCTTCAGAAGGGGTTTTCCCTGTAGAGTGAAATCTGTTCCTTTGTCGGGGTGGCAGGTAGCACCTTGGAACTTACACATCCCTTGACATTACTTAGAACCATTTCACCTGTTATTGGAAGAGGACTTTAAGCCTTCAATACCAAAGCTTTATTGAGGATTTTTGAGTTGTAGGGTCTGTGTGTCCCAGCGAATGATCTTTAGTCCCGAGTCAAGTACAGATAGCACCCATTCTGAAGAAAAAAAAAAATTACTCAGATACCCAGGGTTGACCC